CCTATTTCACTCTCCTAGTGTTTTCCTAAATTATGTGGGATTTTCTTTTTAGAGGCTTACTGGGACTGCAAGTCCAGCAAGCTTGGACTGTGCGAGCAACAAAAGACTGTTAACCACTGACGATACCATGCATGTCACAAACCCAAATATTATCAGGAAAGAAAGGACTGCAACAAAAAGGTATCATCAATTTCTAAGAAAATATCTCCCTTTTCCCCTAAGTACAATTGTAACAGTTTTACTGAAAGAAGTAACAAGCAGTTAAAGTGAACCTAGACATAAGTAAGTGGTTTAAAACAAGCATGAACTCACAATTTCCTTCAGGCACTGCCACTAATTTCTTTTTAGAGGAGACCTCATGGATAGAAAACCTAGGCATCACATGGTTTCAAAGAAAAGAAGACAATTTATATAATGGAAGCTAAACCAACATGCATACAAAGATCAGAAGATTGTCCAGTTTCTCAAGAAAGGTGCGTGCAATTAAAAATGTAGTTATCAAAAGTCAAGCTAAGAAGCAGGTTTTTTTTCAAAGTGAAGTAGTATAAGAAGGGAGTAAATTCATATGCATGCCATCAGGAATGTCAAAACAAAACTGAAATCACAAGTTGGTAAAGCAGCTGGTAAATCACCAGATTTAACAGGCACAGGCTATCAAAAAATCTAGTTTCAAGCTGTAAGCTATAAATTCTGGTCTAAAATGCTGCTTCTGTTCCAATATGTATAGCTGACAGACAGATTCACCAAAATCTCACACAAACCTCTCAGTGCCTTTGAAAACAAATGCATCAGGTAAATTCTGTACATTAATAACATCTAAAATTCATCATAAAGTCTGATAATCTACCACCCAAGGCATCCGGAAAAACACTGGGTATCTGCCACTGCCAAGGACAGATGCAGTGTCAATGTGGGAAAGGGAACTAAAGCACCCTCTGCATCCCCAAAGTGCAGCCACCTTAACAGCTGCAGGGTGGGGAAGGCAACTGCAGGACACGTGCTCTTTGCTACTGCACAGTCTTGCAGTGACATTCCTCAGCTTTGGAGAAGTCAGAGTTTGGAGTTTAAGTTGCCAGTGGTGCAATACCAGAAGGAACAACATCCGATAGCTGTTCTAGCCCTGCTTTCTTCCGTGAAAAGGTGTATCAGGCCCAACTGCCATTACACAGCTGAGAGAAGATGCAGTAAAGCTCACATGCTTCCTTCTAACACTATTCATAGAGGGAAAACTACAGGAGTTTGAAACATGAGGTTGTGAAAATCTCAGTACAGGACAGCAGCAATGAGTGAGTTGTCAAGCCCTCAGGATGTCCAGTGGAACAGGAAAAAATCATATAATCAGATAAAATCATGCATCTCACATCTCACATTCTACAGCAGTGTTCAACACAGATCTTACTCTGTTTCTTGAGGTCAGAAGAAAAAGAGCTTGATCATTACCAAGCATTTCCGAAAACTCTATCTTAAAAAAAGATAAAACAGATGCTGTTCACACTGTGAAGAGAATAAAATTCAAATGCATGAGAAGGTGTCAAAAAATTCAAAATACTTAAGACTGTAGGGCTAACATTCACTCAAATGTTATTAATTTAAACCTTGCTTATGTAAATCCTAGATTATTTCTTAGAACACTTGCCTAGCTAATAGGATCAGGCTTTCACTTTAGTCATGCACGAGACAAATGTAAAATGTGCATCTTTTTGTGTGATTAGCAACAAAGACTGTAAGCACAGACAAAAAGGTTTCAGCCTTTAGCTACCAGATCTACCATCTTATTTCTGTGGCTAAGCTATAATTAACCTTTAGTCAGCCACCTCAGTCATGAGAAGAGATAATCATGGATTCTCTTTCTGTGATCCCAGTCTTATCTTTATAAACCTTTACAAAGATTCTCAGACTTTTCAAAGAGGATGAATCAGACTGGGAGTAAAACCACCCTTATGGATTCTTAGAAGAATTTTAGATCAATCTGCAGGTATGATACATGCCAACACATGTAGTATAATACTTCCTTTATAACAGGTCCCCTGAAGACACCAAGCTAAGACCACTGCCAAGTCCATTCACCAGGTGAAAAAAACAGGTCTCTGCACATTCCATTCCATTCCATTCCATGTAATGTAATGCACATTTCATACATGAATTGTAATGTATGTAGTCGCATGGAGTCCCAAAGAAAGGAGAGCCTTACAGTAATTTGAGTAAGACACTATCTGGTCTAGTGGTGAGGGGCTCCATTACCTCATGGCACAAAAACTGTGCAGAGCAGCATGAGATGCGCCGTCCAGTCTCACTACTTCTAAATCTACTTCTTTAATCAAATCTTTGCCACATATTTTTTTCTGTCTCAGCCAAACAGGAGTGCACCTGCATATCTGTTCTTGCCTGTAGCTGTCTCTCCGAGGTACATTATGACAGCAACATAGTGAAATGGCCATGACACTTCCACTGTGATGGTCCTACTATGGCCTACTTGCATCAGAAGCATAAAATAAGCTGTATTCCAGTACAGGAAGAAAATATAAAGAGGAAAGATGGAGGATGGAGGAGGGCTAAATACATTCTTCTAGTTTCCCCTCTCCTGTGCAGAGCGCAGCAAAGGCTCACGCCCACACTCCTTAGTGACCCAGAAAAGTACAGCAACCAGAAGAGCTCCCTTTAGCACCATTCTCGCTGGTCCTGTTGTGAAGCAGCAAATACTAGCATGGTTGTCTATCATAACCATCTCATGGTCCCACAGTTAATTTAAATCTCTGTGATGCTGAAAACTATAGTTCTCTGTTCATAACAGCAGTTACTCTCTGCTACAGACAGCACAACTACTGTATTAAAACTTTGCTCCTTTTTTTTTTCCTGTTTCTCAACAAAACAGAGTCAAAAGGAAAAGTCAAATATTTACCTTCTAAAGAGACTTACTAGGCAATAATTTTAACATTTGTTAAAATGTTTTTTGGTTTGGTTTTTTTACAGATACTTGGAAATTTTCAAAAACTACCTTCTGTCTTTCAAAAGCCACCAAAATCCAATTCTACTTCAGATACTATTGCCACGTACAAATACATATTTCAAGCGTTATTTCAAGAAAATAAGCCAAACTGATTCCAGAACAAACATTGGTCTCTAACATTTGTTATTTCAAGAAAATAAGCCAAACTGTTTGATTCCAGAACAAACATTGGTCTCTAACATTAATTCCTGTGCAGCAAGTACAGCAGGAAAATAAAGCTGTGACTATTGACTGGATTTTCTATCACAGTCTAACATGCAAGAACATGTATTTTGTAACATTCACTTTCAACTCTATTTTCACCAGTACTACAGTGAGAAAAATCTTTCTTCTCTTTGTATAGATAAAAACAGTTGGTAGAAGCTAATATAGCATCTCTACTTCTATATTAACCTAACCATCCCGCTTTTTGCTTCTCAGGTGCAGTTATACTCTCTGCCAAAGCCCATCTGCACTGTGGTTTTCACACAAAGGTCATATGAAGCCTCATTTGTAAAGCACTTACCAGAGAAAAAATAAAAAAAAACCCAGAGAAAATTAGTAACATACATAAAAATGAAACTCTTAATAAATACTCATCTTTTTCATTCAAAAACAGTTTTCCTACTTGATTAAAGATAAGCTTTAGACAATTTACAAGGATTTCTGTGTAATAACAGAACACCAAGTCGAAGGTCAAAAACCAAAACCAACGCCTTTTGCATTTTGTGGCTATTAACTCCCTAACTGAGGCCTGCCCCCAAATGAAAGGAACTAATTTTCCATGTTTAAGTCTAACTAGATCCTTCTAAAGCCAAACGATTGCATAAGGTTCCCATTCTCTCTGTTAGGTTTTCAAAATTTCCATATAGTTAGATCTGAAACTCAGCCCTGAATTGCCACTGAGACCAGAATGAAGTCCAAATTTTATCAGCATCTAAACTTCACTCCCTTAGGTTTCAATACCTCTGCAAATACAGAAGGAATATATCAACTCATTTTCCTTTTTAAGGATCACACGGCATATATGGAGATCCTAGAAACCCAACTGTAAGTTAATTCTCATGTTCAGAATATTATTTAAGGCTGTACTGTGGTGATGAAAAGCTTCCAATAGGTTAAAAAATACACATGCAACAGGAATTCAAACCTCCACTTTAATAAATATACTCAGTGAAACACTTTTGCATGAAATAATTTGATTACATTATAGTCTCTGCATGCTTGTTGCATGAGGCAATGCTAAGTCTGTTCAATATTTATTTTCACTGTATAGTAAGAGCTTATGTTATACTTTTTTATTATTTTTATATAAAACTTGTTTGATTCCCAGAGAATTCTATAGCAGTACTGTTATAGCCATCACAAAGTCGTAATTAAGCTGTGACTTCAAAAATGTATTATTTTGTCACTAATAAATCTCACTGCTAAGTGACACAGCTAGCTATTCTGACTTACAATGGCTCACACAGATTACTTAAAAATAAATTGGTTTGCTCTGGAAACAGGAATGGTCGACACTTTCCTTATCAGAGACTTTGTACTTAGGAAGCAAAGTACCTTCATAGCGAGACATTCCAAATGGCAAATGACAGCTACATAAACAAACATATGGCAATGTCACATCAAATGGCCACTCAGAAATCTAAGATGTTCTTCTCTCACAGGATTTGAAGTATCTCTCCTATTTAAGGAATTTCCTGTGTGGCATACTAACCAAATACACCCACTCTGGCCTCAGAGAAATACCGTGATTCATTCAACACATTGAAGAGACACTCCTTATTTTTAGCTTTGCAGAGTCTATATCAAGTATCTGTAGTGATAAGTAGGGAGTGAGTAAACTGAAAAGAAACAGTACGAGGCATCTCATGTTATCAAAACCCCCCCAGAAAATAGAAAAAAATGTAAAAGCAGTTCTATAGTGAAATATTGGAAAGAACAAAATATTAGAAACATACTCAAGGTTGTCTGACATTAATCCTGATATAAATTAAGTTGAAGCATAACTTACTGGTAAAGTTCCTGGTAAAGAAGCATCAAAGAAAGATACCAAAGAGTTAGGAGGTGCTGCAAACTGGACTTGGGAACCAGAGAAAAGTTTTGAGTTGGAACTGATCTGTGCATGAATTTCCAGACCCACAACTGGTACCCATGGAGCAAGACTGAAAAGGAAAGAGGACAAGGGAAATACAATTTAAATATAGATGGCATTAAACCCCACAAACATCTAAAAATACAAACTAATAACTTTTCATTTATTCTTTTAATTAAAAAAAATTGTAATTGTAAAAAAATTGTAAATTATGTTGTAAATACAATGTAATGGCAAAAGTGCTGCAATACTGGAGAACTAATTGAAATATACCCAGAGGGGACTGTATGGCAAAGCATCTTCATTATATACAGAAAATAAGGCCATAAAAAAGAAACATAATGGTCTGAAACTTTTAACTTTTCCTTACATGAGAAATCTCAGAGAACTTAATGAGACAAACTTGCATGCTGGATGAACCCTAATTTGGTATCTTGTGAAAATCACAAAATCATCATAAATATCAATTACTTTTCAGGTAGTTTGATAAATCTCCAACAGACAGGTGGCATAATAAATTATGTATTCTTTGTCAGCTAGTCACTTGCATGCTGGGAAAGGTGGCACTCCAGAGCAGTGTTACTAGCATATTAGCATAAACATTAGTAATCTGGTAATAGAAAAATCATAATTTCAACTAGAGAGCTACTGTTCTCTGAACATATTCCACAGAATAAAGCTTCTCCATATCATCTAAAAAGTAATTGCAATTCTCACATCCATAACCTTTATATGGACATGAGAAAAAGGTCACCTTTACAGTATGAATTGCTTGACAGTTTCTGTAAGTAATTATCTGGCCTTGTACAAATGAAGTGGCACAAATAGTATTTCAGTGATTAAATCACATTTCTATGGCAGAATACTTCAGCAGTATAAGTACCCAGATAGCTACAGGAGATAAGCAAGCTATGGAAGAACATCAAACAAATATATCAAGTACAGTGTTCCTTCCAAAGGTGAACGTAATTCATTGCCAAGATTTTAGTTCTCTGTCCGCCCTCCAACAGCTGAGGACATCCCTACAAACACCAAAATAGTGATGCAGACGCCACTTATATCGCTGCTTTAGGAATAAGAATATTATCATAAAAGATCAAGGCTCAGATGTTTAAAGGAGCTAATGCATTTTCTTTTACTGAAACAGAATTTTCTTTGGTGATTTTCAACTATTCATAAAAATACAATTTTTATTTATATGAATACAAAAATTCGATTAAAAATTCATAAGTTTTATTCTAGAACTTAGAAGTTGGGTTTTTTTCATTTTATTTTGGAGGACGATTTATTTCAGTGTTTCCTGCATTCTTTAGAAATGCATCCCTGTCACGGCTTTAAAAATTACATCAGGTTTTGCTTAATCAGTTTGTTGGCTTATACTCCAGATAAAAAGAGATGTGCTTCAGTCAGTCCTGGAGTCCTCCTAACAACACTAATGATAAACTTGGGAGTTTCTCGCCATGACTGTTCGAGTTTTATGCTTGTTTGTGTCTCTAAAGAACCAGCAGCATTCTTCTGCCAATATCTGCATAACTTCCCTTAGGTGATCAGTTGTGCAGAGAGAAGCCTGAATCTCCCCAGAGAACATGAACGCTTGCACAGGCCGGAACTTTCAGCTGCAGCAGGAGTAAAACGCTCCGTTCCAGGCACACTGTCCAAGTTTGATGTTCCTCCAGGGGAAGGGAAAGCTTCCTTTGGACCACAGTAACGCTTCAGAAAACACTCAGCAAAATTGGCGCAGCCCTTGCAGTTTCTACCCCGAACACACGAATATTCACACTTTCTGGTTTGCTTGCATGGTCTGACCACAGTCAACGTGTCAGAGGGACAACAGCTCTACTGCACAGACCAGTACTGCACAGGCCAGCCCTGCATAGGCCAGCCCTGCACAGGCCAGCCCTGCACAGTTCGGGGGCCGTTCGGGGCCGTGAGAGAAACGCGTGCGGAGAAGGCGCTGCCGGCCGGCACCGAGCTGTAGGTGCCTTACACCGCCCCGAAGGTGGTATTTAAAGCGGGGCCCGGCTACTACCACTTCGCGATCTGCTGGTGACACAGGAACTGCACCTCCAAGGCCCGACATGCCGCGGCCCGGCTCCCGCAGCCCTCGCTCTTTGAAACCGGGCCCGGCCCTCCCGCATGCGGCTACGCC